GCCCGCATGGGGCAGCTCCTGGACACGCCCGCCCACCTGGTGAGGCCGAGCGGGGCCGCAGCACCGGGAATGAATCTCTGGATAAGGTGAGGAAGGGGCCAGAGTCCCTTACTGCCAGAGAGGCCTTCCTTTCCAGCATGAAAGGTGATGATGGTGGACAGCGGGCAAACCTTTCTGATTCCTAACTGGGGCGGGAGAGGCATGTAGAACCAGAGAGAGAAGGAAAACCCAAAAGTTTGTTTTTTGCAAAAAGTAATAAAATAGACAACCCTGTGAGAGTCTGATTGACAAAAGAGAGGAAATAGCAAGAAGCATGAGAAATGTGAAAGGCAACAAAATCCCTTAAATCATCTAAAAGGGTGTTAAAAATTATAGAAAGAGTATTGCAATGTGCTTGTGCTAATGTGGCCACACGTTTCAGAAAGCAGATCATTTCCCAGGAAGAGATAAATTGCCCAAATAGTCTCTAAAACCAGGAAGTGACGCTGGAGAGCCTGGTTCCCTCCTGCCGAGAGAGCCAGCGCCCAGGCCTGCACTGGCCGGGTGCTCAGGCTTGGAGGGGCTTCCTGCCAGCCTCTGCAATTCTGTCTCACAACGGTGCTCCAGAGCCGAGCAGTGTGCACAGCCTCGGATCCTCCCGAGAGGCTGGCCTTTCCATGGTGTTGAGACCAGACAAGGAGAGAATAACGCTGAATGCTGCCGGCCAATCTCGCAAACGTAAACACGAAATCCTCAGAGAGATATTAGCAAGACGGTCGGGTATCCCGTTAAGTGGTCACGCAGGCAAGGGAGAACAAAGTCCCAATTTTCTCCTCAGGATTCAGAAAAGTGGAATAAAATTTGGTTACGAAAGAGTTGTTTGGTTAAAGTGGTCAAGCGCGCAACTTTTAAAATCTTTTTTAAACTAAGAATCCCTGAATCAAGGTTGCCACAGCAATGCATGAGTACCCCAAAGATCACTGTGACACGTGTGGGTATTTTCATAAAAGCTCGGATGAATGAATGCAAGGATGGTTTGATGTTAGAACATCTGTTAATGTGACCTGTAATATTGGCAGATTAAAGGAGAAAAACCATGTGGTCAACTCAGTAGACACCAAAAATGTCCTAACATGAAACAGCCGGGTCTGATTAAAAAATTACCAAGAAAGTAAAACAGAAGAAAACCCAGCAACCAAACTCCCTGCTGCATATGGAGACAAGTGTCATACTTAATTGTGGTGCCTTAGAACCGTCCCCACCAAAGACAGGAAGACAAAAAAGAAAGGCCACTGCCCACTGCCATTCCCACAGTCCTGGAAGTCCGAGCTGACACAGTAACACAGAGAAACAGTGAAAAACAGACATTGAGGGAGGCCAGTCAGACTCCTACTGTCTGAAGGTGACCTCACAGTTGTCCTGGAAAATAAGGGAGTCGGCTGAAAGCTGCTGGAACTGGTACGCGGGCTCAGTAAACACATCCCTCAGGATAGGTGAGGTCATGCTGCCCTGATAAGTAGCCCGAGTCTCAGGGGCTCCTACTGCCTAGGCTCACCTCCCGGCCACACCACGTGTCCAGGGTGGGCCAGCCAACACTCTGCTCTGTCTTCCTCACCAGGAGCCAGACCGACACAGCAGCCACCCTTGGGAATTGTCCTGGCTCCACAGGACACCATACCAGCAGTTTGGTGCCCCAGCTCCGAAGCAACAGGTGCCACTTCCACAGATAAGGAACTGACCAGGGTGAGTCCCACAGCCCCACCCAGCTGCAGGGGGCCAGGAGAACAACCCTGCTCTGCACGCCTTTCGTGCGGAAGCGGGAGCTGGGAGTCCTGGGCACTGGCACTGTGTCTGCCACAGTGAGGTGTGCAGCAACGACATAAAACCAGGGCCATTCTGTACAACCCTAACAACCAACGAGAACACACAGCTGGATCAACAGCGTAAAACACTGGAATACACACAACAAGAAGCCGCAGGACTCAGATGAAGAAAATGAAAACCTTTACCAAATGACAGCAAAGGAAACCCAAATAAACTAGTGAGAGTCATGTGGTGGATTGGGAAGAATCAATATTGTAAAGGTGTCAATTCCCCCCCAAATTCACCTATAAATCCAATGCTGTCTCAAAATAAAGGTCATAGAAAAAAAATTAACAAAATTGGACAAGCTAATCCTAAAGTTACATGGAAAGAAAAGTCTGCAAGGACAGCAGGACTTCATGCTGCAGAATTTCCCCCCAACGTCTTCCTGGGCACCGCTGTCCTCCCGACTCTCCTGATCTGGGTTCTTTCTACTGCTTTCCATCTTTATTTGAATATTTCCTCTAGCAGCTTCCAAACAAAAGACCCAGGGAATAAATGTACGTCTGAATCCTCGTGTGTCTGAACATGTCTTTTTTCTTGGTATTCATGGTATTTGGCTGGGACGTTTTTTACATCACTTCTTTGAAATATCTCCACTCTATTTAGCTTTCTTTTTTCCTGAAAGTTCTATTAGTCAGATGATGAACATCTTGGAAAAATTCTCTAAGTCTCTTTCTTTTTCTTAATTTTTCAACTGTCTTTTGGTTTTACCTTTCAGGAAATTTTATAAATTTTATAAACTCTGTCTTTTAACCTTTTTATAGAAAAATTTTGACATTTATTTTAATTTCAAAGGTACTTTCTAGGGGGTAGTGGTGCAGTGTGGACTGTGGGTCCCTGGAGGCTGGTGCTGCATTACAGACGATGGTCCCTTATAGTCCACTCTTGTAGATTATGGTCCTTGGTGGGTGGTGCTTCACCACAATGCTCCCAGGAGGATGCCCTACCACAGAGAGTGCTCCCAGGAAGGTGTCCTACAACAGAGTGCTCCCAGGAAGGTGTCCCACCAGAGAGTGCTCCCAGGAGGATGCCCCACCACAGAGAGTGCTCCCAGGAGGATGTCCCACCACAGAGAGTGCTCCCAGGAAGGTGTCCCACCACAGAGAGTGCTCCCAGGAGGGTGTCCCACCACAGAGAGTGCTCCCAGGAGGGTGTCCCACCACAGAGAGTGCTCCCAGGAAGGTGTCCCACCACAGAGAGTGCTCCCAGGAGGGTGTCCCACCACAGAGAGTGCTCCCAGGAGGGTGTCCCACCACAGAGAGTGCTCCCAGGAGGGTGTCCCACCACAGAGAGTGCTCCCAGGAAGGTGTCCCACCACAGAGAGTGCTCCCAGGAGGGTATCCCACCAGAGAGTGCTCTTGGGAGGATGCCCCACTAGAGTGCTCCCCAGGGGGCAGAATTCTGCTATGAGTTTTGCTCCATCATAGGTCATCCCCCCCAAGGATGATACTCGACTAGATGTATGTCCCTTTGGACACAGATGATGTCCCTTTGGGATGGCCTGCCTCAGTGCAGGTACCCACACTCTCTCCTGCAGGTGACGTTCCATCAGGGGACTTTGCCTGGGACAGGGGCTGGAAGTACAGGCCTACTGCCCTCATCCCTGTGGTTCAGTGCAGACTGTGTCCTTTGGCTTTTAACTCAAATATTTCACTCCTTCACGTGATACCCCTGGACTCCCAGGTGGTCTTCGTCAAGTGAAGACCCTGAATTGTGTCCACCCTCCAATTATACCTATGGGTGAGTTCGCAGAGCCCCGGGGGCTGGTCGGGCCTCTGCTGCTCCTCACTGCCCTGCCCTGCCCTGCAGGGACCTGCAGTTGTGTGGGGTTTAGCCAGAGCCGGGCCATTGGTCCTCACACAGTCGCTGGCAGAACCCGGTGACAACCGAGTTGTCCCTGAAGATCCACGTGTAGGATCAGTTGAGATCAAGTTAAGACAAGGAAAAACCAAGACGTGCAAGTGGAAGCCACAGTTGCAGCTCAGGCACAGAGGCGCGGCTGGGCCGACCCCATGAGAAGTAACCCTTGCGGAAAAGCCCCATGTGGCTGGTGGTCTAGGCCCCAGGACAATGACTGTGGGGCTTGCCCCTCCTGCCACACCAGAAGCTTCTTCCTGGGGATAAAGGGCACTCCCAACCCACTGTGGGCACTCGGTGGTGGTTTGCCATAAGCGCCAACAGTGGGCTCACAGACCCTTCTCAGGCTGAGGGCAGTTCCAGGCCCGGATGCTCACTCAACGAGACAAATCTAATCAGGATGCTATGTCAGGGGCCCCATTCTAAACTGTGGCCAGGGCCCGCACTAAACGCAGGCAGCCGTGGTCCTCACTGCACGGGTGGGTGCCCCTGCTCTTCTCCTCCGGAGGGTGGAGGTGGCCAGCTCTGCCCCGCCCCCTCCCTCCCTGAGCTCTCATTTCTCCAACAAAGGGTCACTTGGCTTTGCATGGTGCCGGGGAGGAGGGGCAAGGCTGGCCCTCCATTGGACGTGCACCCCCAGAGCCGACAACTGGGCATAGAAAGAAGATGGGGCTGCACAGGCCTGGCAAACTCAGAGAACAAGTTCCACGTAGAACACCCGGCAGGTGACGTGGCAGACGAGGGGGTGGGGATGATGGGACAAGAAACAGAGCTGAGGGGCTGGCACCGTGGCTGAGTGGTTAAGTTTGCGTGCTCTGCAGCAGGTGGCCCAGTGTTTCGTTGGTTCGAATCCTGGGCGCGGACATGGCACTGCTCATCAAACCACGCTGAGGCAGCGACCCACAAGCCACAACTAGAAGGACCCACAACGAAGAATATACAACTATGTACCGGGGGGCTTTGTGGAGAAAAAGGAAAAAAGTAAAATCTTTAAAAAAAAAAAAAAGAAACAGAGCTGAGGGCAAGATGAAGCGCTGGGCAAGGGCCGGGATCGGAAGGAGTCTCAGCAGCAGGAAGAGCCCTGGGGGAGTGGGTCAGGGGAAGCTGCAGACGGGAAGAGTAGAAACCAGCCCCAACGCTCCACTTCCAGGCAAGGGCACGGGCAACAGGGCTCTGCCCAAGGCCCTGGCCACCTGGCGGGGGGTCATGGCCCCAGGGGAGGAGCCGAGGGGGGCGGGGTGTCAGCCTGTGGAGCACGGCCCCCACCTGCCCAACGCCACACAAAACACTCGACCACCTTTCCATCCAAAACCAAGGCTGTATTTATCGTCGTTGACAAGAGAACAGAAAGTTTAAAATGCCGAGGGCCACAGTGGACACGGGGGTTGGAAACACAGACCTGAACTGACAAGGCTCGGAAGCCGGGCAGACACAGGTGTGGACATCAGGAAACAAAAGGGACGTTGATGGCAGGACACGGTGATGCCTGTGAGGTTCTGAAAGCAAAATCAAAACCAAAAGGAAATTGTGCCGAAGCTTCCGCTGGTGGAGGAACTGAGACGGCCATGCCGACGCCGGCAGAGGAGAAAGCAGGTGAAGGCGCTGGGTTTGTCACCAGCTTTAGACTCTTCGCTTCTGAAATTCTGCTTGCCTGGCACAGAACCCAAGAACACTGCACGATCCGCACGAGGGTCCACCCAAGTGTCCGTGCGGCCAGAGCCGGCCAGTCCCGAGCCGGTGCCCCTGGAGCTGGGGAGCCCGCAGGGGTCTGCTCTGTGGCGTCCCGCCTCCCCGGACAGCCCCCAGGCGGCCGGTGGCTTGCATAGTTGAAGGATCGTTGCTGCAGTTAAACTGGGAGGGCTTCCAACTGACAGCGAGGGAGTCTTTCGTGACCACGTTAAACAAACAACCACAGGGGCTTCTAGAAACTGTTTTTATAAAGTCTACCTAGGTTAAGAATTTAATAACGTCATATATTTATATTAACAGACTATTTACACTTATTTCACTTTTTTTAAAAACAAACTGAAAAAGAAATTCTCTTACACTTCTGCATAATAAGGCCAAAAAAAGTTTTGTACATTACTATTAATCATTATTTTAATATATATCTGTAGCTTCGGTTCCAAGTACCACGGGAGGGCCAGGGCCGGGCCTGAGTGGGGCCTCACAGTGCGTTGGACAAAATGACCGTTTTTTCTCCATAAATAAGACAAAAAAACTCCTGGCGCTCTGGAGAGGGATCAGAGGCCGTTAAGTCACAAACCCGAACTAAAAATAAAAAAGCAAAAGTTTCTTTTTTGTCTAAAGAGCACAAAATTGAAAAAAATACAAATCTATTAAAAACGCTCTCACCTGTGGGAGAAAATGTACAAACTTCAGTTTTCTTCCGACAGCCTAACCTCAAGCTCGGAAAACACAAGCGCCCCCGGACCTGCCGCCGGCTGTGCTTGGGGCGGGACTACCGCGCCTCCACCTCCGGCGGGTTGCGGGACGGCGAGTAGTCGCGCGCCTCGCCGGGCCCGTGGCCCCCGAGCGGCGTAGTCCTGCTCCGCGGCGGCGGCCCGGGGGGCGTGGGGGGCGCGCCCGGGCCACCAGGGGGGGCGGCGCGCCGAGCGCGGCGGCGGCGGGCGGGGTCCGCGCCAGGAGCCGTTGTGCAGGGCGGCGGCGGCGGGCCCGAGGCGCGGGTAGTGCAGGGCGCCCAGCGCGGGCAGGAGCGTGGCGCCGTCCAGGTGCGCGGCGGCAGGCAGGTGCGGGGCGGCGCCCAGGTGCGCGGCCGCGCGCGCTCCAACTCCTCGCGGCGCGCCTCCCGCAGGCGCTCGGGGCTGTAGTCGTGCGGCTCGCGGTCGCGGTAGGGGCGCTCGGGGGGCTCGAGGAGGGTGGCGGGGCCCGGGGGTGGGGCGCCGGTGGGCCCAGCGCGGCGCGGCAGCTCCAGGCCGCGGTAGGCGTCGCGCAGCGGCTCCCACGCGAAGCCCAGGCGCTCGCGGCCCGCGGGGCCCGGGCCGAGCTGCAGGGGCGCAGGGGGCGCGCGCGGGCGCTCGGGCGCGGGGTGCAGGCCGCCCGCCGGGGGCTCGGGCGCATCACCGTCCTCCCTGCGCTCCTCCTTGACCTTCACGTCGCCCAGGGGCGCCTTGATGTAGGGCGACGGCGGCCGCGCGACCAGCTTGGCGCCATCCTCCTTGGCCGGAGAGCGGCTGTCCTTGACGCGGGGCTCGGCCTCGCGCTCCGCGGGGACCCCTGGCCGGCTCGGCTCGCCCTGGCCGCGGAGCAGGAGACTGCTGACCGGGTGGCCCACGGGGGCTGCAGGCGACGCCCGGCTCAGCAGGCGCGTCTTCTCCAAGAGGTCCCTGGGAGCAACAGACAGACACCCCCATCAGCCTAGGAGAAGGATGTCACCCTCTGTGACAGGACACCCCGAAGCAAGCTGTTTGCTACCAAGTTCCCACCTCAGCACAGCGGGGCCATCGCCTAGGGCTGTGTGTGGGGGTCCCTCAGCACCCGAGTTCTTGCAGAATTGCTAGCAGCACACAGTGATGACAAACCCGCACCCCCTCGAAGGAATCTCAACACCCACAGGCTCCCTCTCCTCATAAACCCGGAAACCAACTTTGCAGCAGAACCCAGGAGCTCTCCATGCCAACCCAGGCCGCCGAATCTCTGAACCAGGACAGACTCTCAGCCAGGAACTTAGGGGAGTTCTCCGCCCAGGCCCCAAATCTACCCGAGGGACGGGGGATCCTGGAATCCCTTCCTTGTCGAGTGTGGGGATCCTGGAATCCCTTCCTTGTCGAGTGTGGGCAGCCTGGCGGGGGTGGACCACAGCTCTACCCGCCCCATCACAGTCCTGCTCTCATCCCCCAGGGCTAGTCGTACACTGTGGCCTCAGCTGGGGACCCCCCCCCCCAAAAGGGGCTGTGCCAGCTGCGAAGGTCAGGCCCGAGGCACTGGTTGCTTTTCCCCTCGCAGCCCCCAGGTGCCCCTGCCCCCCTGCCCTTGGAACCCCCTTGCTGCACCTGGCTACCACCCTACAGAATCTCAGCCCCTTGACCCTCTGCAATGACAGTGCTGCCTCCAGGACGTCCGCAGGCCCTGGGCTGTTTCCCGGTGTCCTTCCTCGGTCTTGTGACATATGTCCCCGCCGTTTTCTATGCTAACTTGAGGTGGCACTCTCGCCTCACCCTCCCATCTCTGCGTATGCACTCCCATGCCCAGCAGTGCCTGGCACACTGCAACGCCCCCCCAGTGAGATGCCCCAGACTCAGGATTCTGGGGAAAAGTCAGGGGAGAGGGTCTGGCAGAGACTGGCCGGAAGCCCTCCTCTGCTCCTGTCCACACAGCCAGCCACAACTCCTCAGGGCCCCCAGGTCCTAGACTCAGCCACTGACTTTAGAACATGACTCCTACCTCCGCTGCCCCACCTAGCCTAGCTGCCCCCATGGGCAGACAAGCTTGGCTCCTGCCCTCTAGGCAAAGGGGCTTCCTACAAATGCCCCTCCCAGGCCCGGGCCCCCTGGCTCAGCAGCCCCCACCTGGATGGTCCAGCCCCCTCCCACATGCAGTAGTGTCCCCTGCCCACCCAGAGCCAGGGGTGAATCAGAAGCCTTCACTGGTCTGCTGACTAAGCTCCTCCAGAGGTCCCACTGTGGTCCACACACTGTTGTCCCTGTGCTGCCCCACGAGCGGGGGAAACAACTCCCCATGGCTCCTGCCCAGATCCTGCCCCATCAGAGGTCCTCCATGGGGGCAGGGTTGGGGTGCTTGCTGTGGGGGTCCTCTTTCTCTTGGCCTTTCCCCGCCCCGAGGGTGCAGCCTTCACCTCCCTCCCAATGAGGGAGGTCTTAGGGCAGAGCCTAGTTTGACCCACATGCCCTAGAGCTCTGCAGGAAACTGGGTGGGGACTGAGATGCTGGGAGGGTCAGAAGTGGAGACGGGGGAGGGGAGGGGGCACAAGGGGAGGGGGACAATGAATACTCACCGCTCTCGCTCCTCCCGGCACTTGTCTGGCTCTCGGTCGTGGTTGGTCAGAGCTGAGACCCGCTCGGCGTCTGCGGTCTTGGGCCATGGCGGTGGTGGTGTAGGGAAGGAGGGCGGTGCACGGTGCAGCCGGTTCCAGGCCTCATGGGGGCTGGGCAGGCCATGCAGCGTGGAGCCCTCCTTGGGGGCAAAGAGGCTGCCGCCAGGAGCTGGGGGGGGTGGGGGCGTGAGGCCAGTCTGCTGCCCACCCGCACCGAGTGTCCCCGCCGAACCGCAGGGCTGCTAGGGAAAAGGACAGTTCCCGGACCCCAGGCTGGTGCTGTGAAGAGGTGTTCCCCGGGGAGGGGGTGAGGCGGATGGCCGATCGGCACAGGAGCAGCCCCAGACTGCATGTGTGTGGACGTGCGTGCATGCACACGCGTGTGTGGGGAGGATGAATGTGTGTGCAGGAAGGGTATGCGCGCATGTGCACGGAAAGCAGGTGCCGGTGGTCACTCACTCAGTGCATGGCTGCCCAGGCCTCCGAAGGCGTTGCTGCCCAGGCTCCCGAGGCCCCCAAAGGTGCCTGATCTGCTGAAAGGGTCTGTGGGGGCAGCCAGCACTCAGAGGTCTGTGTGGCTCCCACCAGGGCTCCCACCTGCACACGGGCCCTCCTCTGTGGCTCCAGAACCTGGCAGATGCCACCAATACAATTCCCACCCACCTATGTCCCTAGAGCCCCGAGGTCTGCAGAGGCCAGCCAGACCCCACGGACCTCAGGTGGCACCTACCTGTCAGGTGACCAGTGGGCAGGAAGCTGCCAGGATGGGCTGAGGGTCCAAATGGGTTGGTGGTGGGATGGGCAGCACCTGTGGGGGGCAGGTTGGTGGAGGCCCAAGTGCACCTGGAGCCACCTGTCTGTGGCTCGTTCCCAGGGTGGAGGCACCCCAGCTTCCTCTGGGAACCACTACTTCCACTGAAGCGCGTGACCAGGTAGGAATGGGTTTGGTCTCTTCCCTGGAATCTGGAGGACCCCAGGGGAGCAGGGATGGAGGAGGCAGTGATGGCAGTGGAGCCCCAGAGGAAAGAGGGCAGAGAGAGAAACGGTCTGAGACAGCCTTCACGAGCTGCTTCCGAAGCCAGTGATCCTGGAGTTTCCACCAGACAGCTAGTGAAGGATCCTGGCTGCTCAGCAGTGGGTGGGGTCTTTGGTCCTGATGGGCACTGGCTTGAGCAGCTTCTCCTGTGGTGCCCCCCAGCTGCAGCCACAGCCCACAAGTGTTGCCACAGCATCAGCCTTGTCACCCCATCTGTGGTCCTGCCTGGCTCCCCCGACACCCCAGAACTGAACAGGTGAGAGGGGCATTGGCCTTGGGAAGGGGCTGTGGGGTGAGGAGCAGGCCCTGCCATGTGGGGTTGGGCAGGCGCCCTCCAATCTCAAGGACAGGTTTCTGCTAAGACCTGTGACGTGGGCACCCCCTCACATCTCTCCAGCTCCCTCCATCTTTGGGGACCCCAACAATGGCGCATTCACAGCCTCCTGCTGGGGGCCCCCAGAGGTGAACTTCTCCACTGTGGACACATGCACTTTCCAATCTCCACGGAGCTCTCGACTAGAAAGTTAACCACGTCTGAATGACTCAGAAGTTGAAGAAATCAAACCAGAGATGTGATAACAGCTGCCCTGGAGCTGATGGAGACAGCGTGTCAGTGGGAAACGGTTGCCTTAAAAGGCACATGCTGTAAGGAGAGGCCAATGAGCTGCCATTCAAGGAGTCATGAAGATGGGCAGGCAAACAGGCAGCCAGAGGAGGAGGGGGGCGGGCGGAGCCCAGCCGAGGGTCCACAGGCACAGGGCCCAGGCCGGGTGGGGCAAGTCCCGGGGGAGGGGGATGGCAGAGGCAGAGCAGGACAGGCCGTGGGGGGAGCTCAGGCTCCGTGTGGCACCAAGGGCATGAGGCTGCAGCCTGGGCTCCACACTGAGCACATATCCCACAGGCTCCAGCCTAATTAGACTGCTGGCTGCCACCCTCTGCCTGGACTGGGGTCTGGAGGCCATCAGGGCATTGGGCCGGGGGCTGGGAAGAGCCACTGTGCTTGTGAGGCCAGCCCGGTGACCCCATCCATGCCTGTCACTCCAGCATGGTGGTGGGCCTACATGAAAATAGAGCAGGGAGTGGGGGGGGGCAGTGGCGAGGGGACAGTCAGGGTGGCTCTCTCTCTCAGCCGTGAGGGTGGTTTATCCTGGGAGTGCTACTAGTGAGTCCTCCAACCTGGGGGTGCTCCTGGGAACCCCGACACAGCAAGACTGTGGTGTGTCTGCAGTGGGGGACGAGCATGGGGCCGTGGGAGCAGCTTCCTGCCATTCCGAGAAAAGCCCAAAGCCTCCCTGGGAGGGAGCAGGGCTGCATGACGGGCAGCACAGGCCTCGCAGGCCGGGGAGGACGTCAGAGTGAAACCCGGGAGAGGACGGAGCGCCCAGAGGGCACACGCACGGTTCGGGTGAGCCCCGGGAAGCGTGTGCAAGGAGAAGGGGAGGACAGCAGAACTGATGAGTTACAGCAGTGAAAGGAAAACGCTGCTGTGTCAGAGGGAGAAGGCGAGATCACTCTGCCCACTGGGCAGCCCCTCCTTGCAGCGCGGACGGCTGCTTCCCGGAGCCTTACCCGAGGCGGAGAGGAGGGGCCGGGCCAGGTCCTGCGGGTAGTGGAACCCGGCAAACACACCCGGGGCGGGGGGTCTGCTGAACAAGTCCAGCTTGGCGGCCACCTCCAGCTTGTGGGGGTCCAGCTGCATCTGCTGAGAGGGACAGAGCGTGTCCAGGGGCCGCCTCTATCCTATGATGGCCTGAGCCCGCGGCCCACAGAGTCGCAGTGCCCACGAGCCCCCAGGTGCCATCTTGCCTGCTCTCGGGCACATAGAGGGGGTGAGGGACAGTAGGCTTGTCCCAGTGATGTCCCCTGCCTCAGGGGACCAACCATCGTCACAGCCTGTGGTGCTAACACAGGTTACACTTGAGGTGTTTCCTTTTCATGTGGTCTGCTGCTGCATTTTACACTTAAAGCACATCTCAATTTGGACATTACACTCTCATCAGGAATAGTTTGTGTTTGGATTTTGTAAACTTGAATTAAAAAAGTAAATTCACATACCCAAGTTGTTGCAAATATGCTACGAGTTTTCCAACGACTGAATTTAGCATCAGTATTAAAATTTAAACTTACTAAAATTAAACTAAAAAGCCTGTCCCTCAGTTGTGACAGCTTCATGAGGCAGGGGACCCGGCTGCGTCCTCCCTCTGCTCCCGCTGCACAGTCTGCAGCAGGGGTGGCTCCATGAGCAGTGACGGTGGAGGGGCCACCCGTATGAGGACAGTCCCTCTGCCTTCCAGGGGCCCTACCCCAGCATCTTCACATCGAAATGCAGTGTTTCATTACAAACCCCTTTCGTTTGGCTTGTCCTTGTAGCATGTTTAGGACATCATGATTTTAAAGGTGTGTGTGGAGGTGACGTGTTACCCGACTGAGATGCACTAAAGGGCGTTAGATAGGAACCCTTCTGTGACGTGGGGCTGGGTCCCAGGGGGCCGAGGCTGCCATTTGCCCTGGCCCTCACCCACCCTGCCCTTGCTCAGCCCCCAGCCCGCTGTCCCCGACCTCCATAGCTGCCTCTTCCCTGTGTCATCGGAGTCACCCTGCAGGGAGGTTCCACCGTGGCCAGGGCACCTGCCACCACTGTGCTGGGACAGGGGACGGTCTTGTAGTTCCTCCCAAACCCCCACCCGGTCATCCAGGTGCTGACCTGGTGACCCCTGCCTCTCCACCGTGGGAAATGACCTCAGTTCTCTGCCCCTGCCATCCTGCCTGCTCCCCTTGCCTACCCCTCACAGCCAGCTCAGTGCCCAGGCAAGGGGCACGGGGCAGATGTGTGAGGACCCTGGACACACCTGCAGGTGCGTGGAGCTGTGACTCGTGCTCACCTTCATCTTCTGCTGATGGTGGTAGATCTGCCAGGCGATCTGCACGTGGACGGCACACCACTTCCCCGGCTTCTGCGACAGGATGGGCGACACGCTCAGCCGTGTGACCGGGGCCTCCTCGCTGCTCCCTCCTCATCACCCCAGATTCCTGCTGTCGCGGGGCACCCCCGGCCACCATGGGGCACTAGTCTTCCACAGCCAAGGACTCTCCCTGAGGTCCCAAGACCCCTTCCTCCCAAGATGTACACTTACACGTGCACACACGCGCACACCCTCGTGTGCACAGACGCATGCACACACACTCACCCTGACCGCTGTCCGGTACGGGTCGGACACCTGTCATCGACAGAGGAAACATTAGGTCCAGGCTCTGCTGGGGGACGAACCGCGGGGTGGGTGAGGACATGCCTACATGGCCTCCACTGGGGGGCTGGCCAGGACGCTCCCAGGGAGGGAGGAATGGGCACCACTATCACCTACCCCAGGGGCTTTCTGGAGGAGGGTGTGAACAGCACTGGCCCGGCCTGTTATCTCGATTGGGTTTGAAGTCTGAGGGGAGAGAGTTACAGGGAGTGAAACAACTGAGGAGACCCCAGGCCCAGGTAGCAGGAGACCCCCGAGGTGCCCATGCCCCCACTGCTCTGCCTATGGGGCCCTGCATGCTGCCACCCACGGGCAGCCTGGCTTCCTACCACATTTTCAGTTCAGGGGTTTCTGCAACGGTTGGAATAAAAGGCTCTCGACACTGATGCACCTGGGCCAGCGGCCAAGGCAGCTCTCCTTCAGGGAAGGTGAGCAGAGCAAGCCCGGTTTCCTGGCGTGGGGCCTGAGGTGGGGTGCTTCCTGCCTCAGCCCCCTGCAGTATGGATGGCCCTGTGTTGGCCACCTCACTCAGACCTTCCCTCTACAGTGCTCCTCCTGCCCCAAGCTGCAGCGGTCCCGGCAGAGGGTGACTGTGCATGAAGCATGGCCCTGGTGGCCCCTGCTGTACAGAAAGCCTGCCCCACCCTGCCCTGCCCAATTTCTGTCTAGTCTGAGAGCCCCGCAGAGGGTCACGGTGTTCTATATTGAGGCTGAGGCTGCTCGGGGGTACACGTGTCCACACGGTCCTCTGCATACTGCCACTCCACTCCTGGGGATGCCTCGTTTGGAGCCCCCAGCCCCCTCCCACTGTGGGTACAGACAGACACAGCCCACTCGGCCTGGGTGCTCCCACCAGCACCTGGGTCACGACAGGTACAACAGCAGGGCGAGGGGGCAGAGCTGCTCCTGGAGACCAAGGATTGGGGGCCAGTCCTACAGCAACCCCCCGCCCACCACCACACCAGGGAGCAGCCAGTACCTTGGGTTGAAAAGCACCCTGCAGGGACCCAAAGGGGCCTGGGTGTGGGAGCAGGGTGGGCAGTCCTGGGATGGCAGGAGGGAAGGACGGGAAAAACTGTAAGAGAAGGAGGGAGGAGTGTTCCAGGGCCTGGCCAGTGCTTGACATCCTGGGCAGGGAGGCAACATGGACAAGGCCTCCCTCCGGGCCAGTGCACCCTCCTCTCTGCCCTGCCACCCCAGCCCGCTTGGAGAGCCCACGGCAGACCAGCAGGAGCCTGGGCACAGAGACACTCACGTTGGAATGTCGGAAGTAGGGGCTATCCAGCTTGGGTGCATACTTGTCAAACTGGAAGGAAGAAACTGAGAGTGAGGCCTCCCCTACAGGTGACACCCTCCACTGGGCCCAGCACCCGCCCACCCCGGCTGGGCCGGGTGGTGGCTATGATGGCCATCCTGCCTCTTGAGGCTGTGGGCCTGCAGCCAGCCATCCCCCAGGCTCCCTGAGGGCGCTGGCTCCCGGCTCTGCACATGCCCTGCACACGCCCTAGGGGGCCCAGGTTCTCACACTGGGTGCAGCCCCTCCTCCTTCTGATGGCCCCACGACGGGAGGTGCAGACTCGCCCAACTGAGTGGTCTGCTTGTGTTGGCTGAGACCCAGGAGGAAGGCGCCACAGCCATGATGGGGGGCATGGAGCCCAGGGCTAGTGGCCAAGCTTTGGACACACCCAAGCCACCGGCAAACTGGCAGGTCTCAAAGCGAAGCCTGGTGGGAAAGGACTCCACCCCACACAGCAGTTGGCTCATAAGTTCCTCCGTGGGCCCCAGGAACCCTCTTAGTCCTGTCTGGGCTTCCAGACCTGCTGTCCTGCTGCAAACCTAGACGTTGAGGGCCCCATGTGGGTGCAACTGGCCCTAAGGCCATGTCCTACATGTGTGGACACAGGGCACTTGCCGAAGCCCAGGAGAATGGCCCAGGACCCAGAGGGGACCAGAGGGAGGGGCTGCACGGACAGACAGACAGAGAGGGACGGTGTCAGCCTGCGTGCGTGCAGAGAGCGTCTGCGTGTGCCTGTTGCGGGTCCCGCTGCCCGGGCCACCCCCGCCCGCCCGCCGGCACAGGGGCCTACGCACCGGCGGGGGTGCGGCGGGCGGCAGGAGCGGCGTCGGGGACAGCCCCGCGGGGAAGGGGGCGAATGTGTGTTGGTGCTGGTGTGTGTGCTGGTGTGTGTGTTGGTGCTGGTGGAATTCCGCCCGCAGCAGAGCCCCCGGGCCCAGGGGCGCGCAGGGCCGCTCGGCGCTCTGGACCAGAAAGCGCGCGTTCAGCTCTTGCCTGAGCAGCTCGCGATCTACAAGAGAAAAGAGAGAGAGACAGAGAGACACGTCGGCCGCGGGCTCCCGGCGGGGCGAGGCGGATAGTCACCTGGCACTCCCGGGTTCGGCAGGCCAAGCCGTGGTGGCCGCTCGCTAGGTGCGGGCCCAGGGGTGGAGGTAAGAGAGGTGCCTGTGACCAAGTACCAATCAGAATCCCCGAATGAGGCTGGCAATACATGATTGGCTGGCTGAATGAGATCAACAGGCTGGCATCTAAAGGCAAGAGAGAACACGGTGAGCCACCGGGAGCCCCGAGACAGGCCCGCAGGGGAGCCCTGCCCTGCCTGGCTGCCGCCCGTCCCAGCCACCAGTGTCCCGGTCCCATCCCGGGGCACCAAGCTGCCCCCAACCCGGGCTGGGCTGACAAAATTCTAGGAAGAATTTGCAGACCCACAGAGAAATCCTTACTGACCTAAAATTTGACCCTGACAGGGCACCTGTGGGAACCAAGTGGAGGAGGAGGCCAGTGTTCACCTGGGACTCCGCTACTCCACTATTCTGCCCTAGAGGCCCCCAGCAGGCCTAGGAATGAGGGATGAAGAGAGGCGGCAGGCCTGGGGGCCCTGGTCGCCATGCCTATGGAGTCACTCTGGGCTTCACCCCCCCACGTGTGTGACCAAGCCTGGCAAGGGCTCAGGAGGGAGCAAGACCTGTCTGTGTGTTTGTGTACACCTGTGTGCACCTGCGTGTGCATGACCGAGGCCCGGGCAGGAAGCTTCCTCTGCAGAAGACAGTGAGACCCCTGGGAAAAGTGGCCTGCAGGGGCCACAGGGGCACTGCCACCTGGCCCGTGGGTTCCAGAGCAGGTGGACAGCATATGTGCCTTGGAGGCCAGCACACCTCCCCAGGGGCTGCGTCCCTTCCACCTGCCCAGGGCTGAGGATGATGGGGTGCACGGTGCCAGGACCTACCGGCAGGGTGTCCTGGGATGACCAGGCTGTTGGCCGGCAGTGCCGGGGGCGGGGGCAGTGTCGGGGGGGCGGCGAACATGGCCGCGTGGTGCTGGTGCTGGGCCTGCGAGCGGAGCGCCAAGTGTGAGGTAGAGAGGTGGGGGCCTGGCCCGTGAGGCGACAGAGACGCGTGCTTGGCGAGCCCGAGGCTGGCGCCGCTGCTGCTGCTGCTGCTGCTCCTGCTGCAGGGATGGGGGGCGCTCAGTGCCCGCCGGCCGCACGCCCCACCCCACCTGAGGGATCCTACCCCTTCCCAGGACGGCCTCTGGACTCCTCATCCCCCGCCCCCCGCCTTGGGCCCCGCCCCCCGTACACCCACCTGAGGCTGTGCAGGCCGTTGTGCGCAGGCGCGCCGGGGCAGGGGCCCGGGAAGGCGCCCAGGGGCAGAGGCACGTGCGTCGGGAGCGGGGCCCGGGGCTGCGAGGGCGCGGGCGGCAACGGCGGGGTGAGGCGGGGCGGGCCAGGGGCCTCCTTCTTGACCGGCGGGCTGGCCCGGGGGCTGCGCGCGGGGGGCGGGAAGGGGGGCTCGGTGCTCAGCTCGCGGCTGCGCTCCAGGCCCGAGACCTTGGGTGCCACGCCGGCCTTGGCCGCGGACTTCTCGCCCGGTGTGGGGCCTGCGGGGAGAGGGGCCGGTGAGCCGGGGGCCCTGTGCTCACCCCTTGAAACTGTCCACCACCTGTGAGGAGGCCCGTCGTCGCCCCAGTTTCAAACAGCGAGGCCACGGCCAAGGCCAAGCCCCCCACCGCCCACTCCACCGGGTAGGGGTCAGGGCTACTGCTGGGGCCTGCTGGGCTCCTCTCACGCTCCTCCGGTGGAGGCCCTAGCCCCAGGGAGGGCCACCCTCGAGGGCCCACGGCCAGGCAGCGCGACACCCACGGCAATCCCAGTGGGGCTAAGGCCCCACTTTACAAACCAGGAGACGGGGCTGCGTCAGGGAGTGGGCCTGCTCTGCCCATGGACATGCTCGTCCGCCCTTGACAGAGCACTCGTGCCAGGGGTCCGCTCTTTCTGCAAAGACCCAGGTGACCCGTGGCCTAAGCCCCCTTTGGGCCTATGCCCTAAGGGGAGACTTTCTGGGTGGCTGGCTTCACCCTCACTGCCATTGCCCTGTTCTCACCCCTTTAATTACCTGCCCAGGCCGGCTGGCCAGCGCCTCTGCTCCCCTCGGAGCTTTGGGCCTGCACTCAGGCTATGACCTCAAGCTCTTGCCTGCTTCTTCCAAACCATCCTTTCTGTGGCCACAAGCAGAGTATCGGGTCGGTTGTGTGCCCAGGGGCCAGGGGGATGAGAAATATCCGAGGCAGGCCAGAGGGAGACCACATGCTGGAGGAGGTGCCCCCACAGTCTCAGTGCTTTGCCTTGTGGGGAGGATGTCCCCATTTCCCAGGAGGAGCGGGAATCTAGGGTGCTGAGCACAGCTGCCCCATGCAGGCTGCTGGCAGACCCTGCTTCCTCCTTGAGGCCTGGGGGCCCGTGTGGGTGACTGGACACAGCCTTCCCTGCGGCCGCCACAGGGCCGTGACCAGGCAGGCGGTGACACCGTAAGGAGGTCTGTGGAGGCCTCTGGGAAGACCTTCCTGGTAAATGCAGGTGGCAGGAAGCGGCCCCTTCTGCTTCCTCAGACGCATCCCTCTGCTACCTTGTCTGTCTGCTCAGGGACAGACCTAGGGAGGAGGCCACCACCACCACCACTGCAATGAGGACAGGGAGCTAGGGCCGATGGGTTTAGCCCGGTGGCTCATGGCTGCCCAGAGATGCTGGTCCCTTGCTCCTGTCTCTCCCACAGCTCCACGCCATCCCCTTGCAGAGGAAGAGCAGCCACTTGGCTGGAATGAGTGCAGACCTGGACACGACCCCACATGTGCCACCAATGACCTGGTCCTCCTGGAACCTTGTAGAACCTCCTGGAATGTCAGCCCCTCACTAGGAAAGCATGAGCAATGCATCTCTCTGGGCGCTTCAAAGCCTTGGCTGGTTCCCTGAGCCCTGCCCACACGGGTGAGCAGACCCTGGCAGTGGGCTGAACTGTGCCAAAGATACATCCGAATTGTGACCCCTGGTACCTGCAAATGTGAGCTTATTTGGAAAAAGGGTCTTTGCAGATGTAGTCAAGCTAAGAATCTTGAGATGACATCAGCTTGGGATAGGGTGGGCCCTAAGTGTCCTTGTAAGAGACAGAAGGAGGAAAGTGTCGTGACAATGGATACAGAGATGGGAGGGATACAGCCACAAGCCCAGGGACGCACAGGTTTGCAGGCAACACCAGAAGCTGGAGGAGGCAGGAAGGCTCCTCCCCTAGAGCCTTCGGAGGGAGTGTGGCCCTGCCCCCACCGTGATTCAGCCTAGGGCCTCCAGAACCTGAGAGGATAGATAGCTGTTTGCTGAAACTGATACAGCCCTGCATAAATGCTGTCTGAACGCCGGCTAAGCGGCCTCTCTCCTAGGACCTGTCCCCTGTGTCTCCTACCCCGACTCTATCCAGTGGGCGTCCGTTTTGCTGCAGTGCTCTGATGTGAGGAAGGGGCTTCTCGAGTTGAAGGCATGTAGAGGCCAGACCCGGCTCCCAGGCCAGTGGGACTGTCACTGCAGACACCCCCGCATGTGCTGCAAGGCCTGTCGATCCAGTCACATCCAGATGCAGCCTTCCAAACAAAAGGGCTAGTGACGCCCCCTCTAGGCCATGCCACGATGGACAGTCTAGGTCACAAAGGCCTGGCCTTGGGTGGGACTAACACAGGGCCATCCACTCTCCAGAGGAGTGCTGTCCAAGAGAGCTTTTTAGGGTGATGAAATGCCATGTGCCTGCGCTGCCCCATGCGGGGGTCACCGTGTACCTGTGCTGTTCCACGCACAGGTTACTGGCCAGGGGGCAGGGGTGGCTGAAGAGTCTAGTCCACTTCATTTCAATATTAACAGCCACACATACAGTGGCCGTGGGGGCCAGCCCACACTGTGGCATGGATGCTTCACAAACCACGAGCTGCTGGCTGTCCCCAGAGCACCTGACCCCATGAGCCTGGGGGGCCCAGGAACACGCAATCTTAACAGTCCCTAGGGGGTGTAGACCCCACTTTGTGAACCACTGCTCCAGAGCTGCCCAGCTCCGGCTGGGACACTGGCCCCACTCCTGGCTTCCCCTGCTTTTCTGGTGGCTTTCTTGAGGGGCAGTCCCTCAGTGAACCACAGCACCTAACTCCTGCCTCAGGTTCTGTACCCAGAAGCCAACCCAAGACAGGGCCTAACCTGGGACCTGCCACTGACTTCAGGAGTGTCCTGTCCCTTCCTAGAGACCAGAAGCCCAGGCCAAGAGACATGCTTACCTTTACTGGCTGCTGGGGCAAAGAGCTTCTCGGAGCCCACAGACGCCTGGAAGAGAGAGAGAAGGGTAAGAGGTCAGAGGAACCTACAGGGCTGGGGTGACTCTAGGCCTCACTCCCCTGCCCTTGGCACCCAGGAAACAGGTCTTGGGCAGGTTTTGTGCATGCGAGGGCCGCCCAGCCTCATGGAACATATCCTGCCCCCGACAGCCCCCTGCAGGGTGACCATGCCCAGCCTGGCTGCAAGCACATGGGCACACAGCTCACTCGGCCAGTGGTGGAGAAACCAAGGATGCCCTGCTCAGCAGGGATGTGTCCTCAGCACAGCCCTGTGGGTAGGAGGCTGGGACTGTGAATCTGGGTGCCTCCCCGCCGTGCCTGCATCAGGAACCTGAGGGCTCTGCTGGGCCTGCCACCAGAGGTGGTGGAGGATGGGGCAGAGTCCGGGATGCTGCCCCTGCCCCATGGGGTGAAGACAGTACCTGCCCAGCCTTGAGCACCCAAGTGGCAGGTCTGGAGACCATGGCCTCCATGATGTGCCGGGCATTGGGGGCAGAGCGGACCACTCTGGGTGGGGTCACGGCCACTTCAGGAGGGGGCATGGTGGTTTCTGATGGACTCCACCTCAGCCTCTTTCCCTATGGGGAGATGTCCACGTGTGTGCAAGGCCTGGGGAGGGGACATCGCCTTGGTGCGGGCGGTCAGGGTGAGGATGTGGCCCCTTGACGTCCAGCAGGAGGCCCGGCATGGATCACGGGAACGAGCTTGGTCAAGTGCCCTGAGTAGACCTGTTCCTCCTGATCGTTTGTTTTAAAACAGCTTCACTGAGATATATTCACATACCATACAATTTACCCACTGAAGAGGTCCAATTCAGTGGTTTTTAGTGCATTCACAGCTACGAGCAACCATCCCCTCAATCAGTTTTAGGACATTTTCATCACCCCAAAAAGAAACCTTGCGCTCTTCAGCTATCACCCAATCCCTGCATCTCCCCCAGCCGTGGCAGCACTGCTCTGCTCTCAATGTCTACACTACCCCCATTCTGGACTTTCAGGTGGAGAAAGCTTGCTGTTGGGGGGTGGGGTGACTGAGTACCAAGGAGCGTGCCTTCCCGTCAGGATGGTCACCATCAAGGAAAGAGAAAGCAACAGGTGCTGGCGAGAATGTGGAGAAACTGGAGCCCTTGTGCATGGCTGTCGGGAATGTAACAGGGCGCAGCCGCTACGGAAGACAGTATGGAGTTACTAAAAAAATTAAATATAGAATGACCATATGATCCGGCAATTCCACTCCTGGGTATATACCCAAAAGAAGTGAAAGCCGAGTCTCAAGGAGGTATTTGTACACTCATGTTCACAGCAGCATTATTCACGGCAGCTAAAGTATGGAAGCAACTCAAGTGTCCACTAACGGACTAGGTCAGCAAAGTGCACTCTATCCTCACAGTGGGATGTTATTTAGCCTCAAAGAGGAAGGAAATTCTGCCACGTGCTGCAACATGAGGACAGCACACCAAGTGGAATAAGCTGGTCAGAAAAAACAAACACTGGAGGATCCCAATTACCTGGGGACCCTGCAGAATCAAATCCAGAGAGACAGAAAGTAGAGGGTCGGGTGCCAGGGGCTGGAGGAGGGGCAGGGAGTTGGTGTTCAACGGGGACAGACTTTCAGTTTGGGAAGATGAGTTCTGGAGATGGATTTTGGTGATGGTTGCACAACAACGTGAATGCACCTAATGCCACTGAACTGTATGCTTAAAAATGGTAAGATGACAAGTTTTATGTGTATCTTACCACAGTACATAACAAATTTAAACAAAAAAAGAGCATGAGGGCGCTTCCTGGGGTGATGAAAACAATCTCCATCGGACTGTGGTGGTGGGTACATAGCCTCCACGTGCACATTTAGAAGAGGCGCATTTTACCGCAGGCGACTGTGGTGCACGAGAGTCAGCTGCAAGATGCGGCCCTGATGCGAGAGCAGGCCGACAGGTGGACAGAACAGAGGCCAGAACCCAGAACAGCCCAGGCACAGGGAGACTCAGTGCGGGCTGCAGTCTAGGGGGACGGGAGGGGCCTCAAATGGACAGGGTGTGACAGGAGCTGGCCATAGAGAAGGGAAAGCCGAGAGCTGTTGTGCTCCCTATGTCAGAATAATTCCAGACCAATCGCTGATGTAAATATGAAAAACAAAACATAAATGTACAACGGAACCCCATGGTGTGGCACTTTACAGCTGTGCTGGGCCCAGGTGGCATTCCTAACCGCATCTCAGGGACCTGTGCCAGGAAGAAAACGGGTGGCAAGGCAGCCCACAGACAGTGCTATGCGCCCCCAAGCTGGCCCGGGAGGCCGCCACACCACGCGATCCCAGGAGCTCTGCTGGTGGCAGGAGAGGGATCCCTGACAGATGGGCGACGTGTTGGCCACAGATGCAGGGGGTCCCAGATGAGGAAGGAGGGAACAGGCTGGCCTGAGTCTGACTGAGTGGGGGCAGTGGCACGTGGATGGTCCTTCCCATCCAGCCACCTGGGGCCAGGACATGCACACCCTCATGGAAGCAGGCTCAGCGCCAAGGGGGCAGGGGGCCGAGGCCGGGACATGTCAGGCTCCTGTGCCCCTGGGGACGCCTTGGCTGTGACCTCTTCCCATGTCTGTTTCTGTGCTGGATTGTTTTTTCTGGTACATCCTACATGGTGAGTTGTGGTTGTTAGTGTCCCTGGATTGTCACTTCACCCCTGAGGAGTCCCCATGGGGCCGAGGGGTCCACTGGAGCTGGGGGTCTGTAAGGGCAAGACAGGGCAGGGTGTCGGCCCTGGGGGCAGGACGCTGCAGCCCAGCCTCCAGCTCCAGACACAGGCAGCAGCACCTGCCCCACAGGGCCAGGCCCCCAGCCTGATCCCCGGATGGAGAAGAAAGGTCTGTGTGCGAAGTGACAATGCCTCAGGACAAGGATAAGGACAGCCCACACCAGTTTGCTCTGCGCCAGGCACTGCCCCAGATCTGCCAGGAGCCACGATCTTGTGTAACACAGGCATGAGGCCAGACACACTCCTGACCACTGGACCCCTGCCCTACAGCGCATGGGTCACCCACTCTCCCTGGGCCTTCCCAAAGACCCCCAGGCCTTCCTGACTGGATCCTCCTCACGATCCCAAGAGGGGGTCCTGCTGTCACCCCCATCTGGGGACACACAGCAGCATCCAAGTGACAGCTCTGGTGTTATAATAATTACTACCTGATCTTGTTAAAACTCGCACAAATTAGTTCTCCACGTACTATCTGAGAGCATGTTTCATAACCAAGTCACCCCTGGACTGAAAACATTCCACCACCTGCCCACTGCCCCAAACCAAAATCTGAGCTTCTCTCCCAGCCCCCAAAAGGCTGTGACCAGCAGGCCAGTCGGGCCCCCGACTTCACCCAGAGGCCCCCGACCCCAGGTCCACTGGCTCCACTCCTGTCCTTTTGGCTTTGGCTGCGCCCCCCGGACCCCCTAGTCTGAGAGGGGTCCTCATGAGCACTGGTGCTGGCAGATTTCAGTCCTCTTCGCGTGTGGGCCCTGGCCTGGGGGGAGGAGGCAGGGGCATGGGGTGATGTGCCCCCAAGATGAGGCCAGCCAGTGGTGCAGCCATGCCCCTCTCGTGAGGCCGCCCCCTGAGGGTCTTCATTATGCACTGTGCTGACAGCCCCTCTCAGCCGCAGGGACAGTGCTGGTCGCACAAGCAGTCTCTGAGGGCCCCAGGCTCAGCGGCACTGCCAGAGGGCTCCTTATCTCACTGGCAGCAGATGAAATAAATGAGCTGGGGGCCTGGTGGGGAGGAGGGAGGGGGCTGAGGGCTGCGCCCACCTGCCAGCCATCCCACCCAGAGGTCCTCACAAGTGGGCGGGGGAGAGGAAGCTGGTGTGGGATGTGAGTCCAGAGCACCCGACAGCAGGGCCACCGCCACCTCGGCTGCACCCTGCGTGCCCTGCCCTCCCTGGAACCCCCTCCTATGACTGGGCATCACCATCAGAACAAGGCGGACATCAGAGAGGACCACTGCAGAGGCATCACTCTGAGAAGACCCATGTGTTCCTGTGGGCACCCCGCCTCTCTGCCCAGCCTGGGGGGGGGGGCAGCAAGTTCAATTAAGGCCAGGCAACCCCTCCCCCCAAGGCCCAGCCCAGCCTGTTCTGGTTCTGGTTCAGTTCAAGGCCTGAACTGAGCCAGAGCACCGACCCCCAAGACCAGGAGGTGGCGCCCCAGACGCAGGGAAAGTCAGGGGAGCAGAGGAGGGGGCAGCGCAAGGGACTGGCAGTGTCTTCCCATCCCTCTGGACACCTGGGACTCCCACCCTGGCAAAGGCAGGTGGGAAGGCCCCTCCCCTAGGTCCATCCGGTCCCCCCCCCCCCCCCCCCCCCAAGGCCACAGTGAGCCCGAGTTAAAGTTTGCTCAGGGAAGTTGACAGATCCGAGCCCCCGCGGGGTCCTGTTCAGGGACCCAGCAGGCTTCCACTGCTGTGAGGGCCCGGACATCTGCCAGGTGCGGCCACGCCCATCAGGAAAGGCTCTGCCCAGACACCCGCGGGCAGCCCCAGCCTCCAGGCCCCTTCCTGGCACAGGCCCGGAGGCGTCCCTGCTGCAACTTGCTGGGGCACCCGGTTCTCTCGTTCTTTCCCTTCCAGGACGAGGGGTCTGGAGCTGGTCAGCTGACCCAAGATGAGTGGGCGGCCCCAGACCCCTGCTAAAAACTTCCCCAGGATTATCTACTGAAACACGACCCAAGCGCAGCCCCCTCCTCCTCCAATCCCGGCACGGAGCCGGTGTGGGAGTGACAGAAGAGGTCACTCCAGGCCAAAGGACAGGTGGGAGGTCCCCAGGCTGCAAGTTCAGGGTCCTGATAGAGGGGGCAAGCCCAGGAGGGAGAGTGTCAGGGCCAGCACTAACTCCCCCGAGGTGCGTAATCCCGGCCGCGGGCAGAGGTCACGGCGTGCTTTGTCTGCGAGGACGAGATCCGCGGGGGCAGCCTCGGCCCAGACACGCGGCCTAGCCTTCGCTGGCCGCG